GGGATGAGAGCCCGGGAACGACGTGCTCCTGCAAAGCCTGAGCTGCAAGCCAGGGCGGCACTATCAAAGAGCAGCACAATGACTGCTTCAAAGGCCTCGCCACCGCTCGCAGTCAGCAGTGGGAGGGAGGAGAGGGGGTTCCGCCTGCTTTCACAATGGGAGCCAGATTTACTCCCTAGGAGAGGAACTCCAGCAAAGCACAGACGACGGCTGGGGCGTGAAAGAGCTAGAAAGAGAGGAGAGGAAACGTAGTAGACGCCACATAGTTTACCGATTCCTCTGCTGCTTAGATCGTCAAACCAAAAGATCTAAATGAAAGATCTGATGGGGGCGATTGTGATTTGCATATTAAATCCAACCGTTTCTGCAAGTTTGTTCCTTGCACCTACATACTGGCAAAAACTCCCAGACTCTTTTTATAGCACTGTGGAGTCTCTTGGCAGCAATACATGGAAGGAAACCTCTGGGTTTCCGCTGCCCTCAGTAAAATTAACCGGTTTATCATAAGCAATTCATACTCTTTTCCAGGGTTTAGAGTCATGCAGAATTTAATTGAGAATGCCTTTTAAATTTCAATTCAGTCCATGAAAATAGGTAGCAAATAAGATGCAAAAATTGCAATTCCAATTTGATTGAGGAAGAATAAACATTAACTGAAATAAATAAAAAAATTCATAACATTTATTTTTTTACTAGAAAAGCTAAGTTTTGAAGGTAGATAGATGGATAGATAATTAAATTTTTTTTTTTTTTTTTTACTTATTACTTTTATTGTATTTTTTAATATTTCTTACTAAACTTATAATTGCTTTTTTTTTTCCAATAAAATATTTTTCCAAAAAATTTAAATTACCATTGAGTATGAAATATGTTCTATAAATAAGCTTGTCTTGCCTTAAATTCTTCACATTTATTTTACTGGAAAATAAGTGTTTGTCAAAACAAGCTCTTGTTTAAAGGTTCAAAAAAAAAAAAGGCTTAAAAACATTTCAAGTTTGAAGGTTTATTGATCTTACAGACAGACATGACTTGGAAATGCCACCTATAAAATATGTATTATATATCAGATTTAATAAATTAAGTTTTACATTTACATTACATTTAGTCATTTAGCAGACGCTTTTATCCAAATTGACTTAAAAATGAGGACAACAGAAGCAATCAAAACCAACAAAAGAGCATTCATTTGACAAGTCTCGGTTAGTACACATAGCAAGGTTTTTTAATAATAAATAAAAAGAAAACAAGTATATTGAATAGATAAATAATAGAGAACGCTAGTGTAAGAGGGTCATTTTTTTATAATAAATAAAATTAAAACAAGTAGATATAATAGAAAAAGGATAGAGAATGTGTAATGATAGAGGGTCAATTTTTATTTATTTTTTTTTTTTTTATAAAAAAAGAAAACAAGTAGAATAGAAAGTTTTGAGGAGCAGGGTGGAAGAACACTTTCTTAGTGTAAATTCTCTGTACTCTTGTCATTTGAATTCAAATTTCATTTAAACTTCCTGAAAGGCAGCAAATTCTATACCCAACCCTGAACCTTTCTAGGTACACGTTTTTAAAAAACCCCAGTTCAGGTCCAAACATTTTCAATCCAAAACTGTTAAAGCAACCCAAGGCGCACAGTTCCAGCCCACTCCAAATAAAAAGGGTTTTTAGACACAAAGGGCATCAGTTATTCTGCCATTCGTGGGGTTGAGGCAGAGTGGACATTAAGAAGAGACAAGGCACTCTCATTGCCACACAAGGGACTTTTAGTTTCTCTCTCTCATGCTTTTTCATCAAAGGCTGACATCTGACTTCTGGCCTCACTCATCACAGACACAGAGCTGGGTAAAGACGACCCGATTCGGGCAGAGCTGTCCAACAGCACTTTCTTCACAGAGCAGGCCATGAAGCGGCCCGCACCTCCAACGGTTTCCCCACACTGCCCCACTATTGTCGACCTATGGAACACTGAAAGCTTTCAAACCTTCGGTCGACCACTCCCAATAGTACGGTAAACCATGTATAGGGCCTGCCAATAACATCAAACTTGGGGCAAAGAATGCAGTCGCTATAAAAATCAAAAGTGAAATGCTGCAGTACAGTCAGCATAGCACAGAGTCAATGTTCAGGTGGCAACAAAGCAGCAAGTTGAAATGTGCCAGACTTTGGTGACTCACAACCTTGGCTTCTTTAAATGACTAAGACTACATCTTCAGAGCCAGCTTTCATTAAAAGACCACCATTGTTACATGGCTTTCCCCGTTCCCAATGAAAAAAAATGCACAGTGGCCAAAAAGTAACAGCCCGGAGGGCATGTATGCCTCGGCTCAGATGACAATCTCAAAGTCTGCAAATCACAAGGGTTAGTCAGACAAAAGCTCTCACAGCTAAATCTGACAAACAGACACAGTTGAGAACAAGAAGAGGATGTGGAAATGTTGTACGAGCAGGAAAAGTGGGATGTGTGAGGACGAAAATTCTATAACCTGAAATTATTCCAATGTACATTTTTATTTCATGGATTATGTGTCATAAGGCATGTAAAAATAAGACGTAGCCTGTCCTTCATACCGAAAATAAAATGGTGAAAACACCAATGGAATTACCTCAATTTCCATGAGAAATCCCCCATTTTCCATTTCAAAACCAATAGGAGCAATCTTCAAATGCCTTGCATATTACATAATAAATGTCTGTCACATATGTATCACGGTTTCCACTAAAATATTAAGTAGCACAACTGTTTTTAACATTGATAACAATAAATGTTACTTGAGCACCAAATTGTATATTAGAATGATTTCTGAAGAATCATGTGACACTGAAGACTGGAGTAATGATGCTGAAAATTCAGCTTTGCATCACAGGAATAAATTACATTGTTCAATATATTCAAATAGAATATATATTAAACAGTTATTTTAAATTCCAATAATATTTTACAATATTAATGTTTTTACTTTATTTTTGATCAAATAAATGCAGTCTTGGTGAATATCAGATGTCTTTAAAGTGCCCCTATTATGCCATTTCCAATATTGCCTTTCATGCAGTGTGTAATGTAGCTGTATGTGAATGTAAACGATCTGCAAAGTTGTAAAGCTGAAAGTGCATGATAAAGTTATTGTCTCCCAAAATAAAGAATCGACTCTGAACAGCTGAAACGAGTCGTTAGTAATTCGAATCCCACTTCCGTGACGGGGTAACATATTTGCATAATGCGCGCCTATGTTCTACATGTTGGCCAGAGCATGTGAGCGAAGCGGAGCGGTGTGACGCTCCGCTACGTTTTCCGCTCTATGGACGTGCGCTCCACTCAGTCGCTCTAACCGCCCAAGCAAGCGCTCCGTTAATATTCCGCTCACACTCACCGTAAACCACAGAACTAATCGTTGCCTGGGTTGCGTACGTATATGTGGGGCGGAGCTATCAAAATAGGGGCAAGACCCTTTTGGGGTAGGGGCGTGTTTGTTTTGGTGATTTCAAATATCAACATTGGCTACCAGAAATCACTTACTCTGCCTTTAATGCTGCTCAATGTGAAAGCACGCACGTGATGGAGATTTACTGCTGATTACAGAACCGGCTTTCTGACAAGATGCGCGTTAAATATCGCATGCGATTTATCGTGCAGCCCTAATTAGGAACCGTAAAAATGGCATAATAGGGGCACTTTAAAAACATTTTTTAAAATCGTACTGACCCCCCAAACTTTTAAATGGTAGTGTATATTTAATACATGTGTATTTTGTCTTAAACGCACCAAAACAACAAAATCAAAACAAAACAAAAGTGAATTTTAGGGTCTTTTAATTGGACATTTTAACTGGAAATGCTGGATTTAACTGGATATTATTTTGCACTGTTGTATGCTATCCTATCCATTATCAAAAATATTATCACTCTTTTTTTGTTTAAAAATATTTAAGTGCACACTATATAATTTGGAAGATGAATAAATAATAAATACATTTGATGTTTCTCAGCCTGTCGGATCTGCATAAATTGACAAGCGGTGGAAATATTCTCTGTCTTATGTATATTATCATGCTCGGTTGCTTCAAGTGAATTTCAATTGGATATTTTAACTAGAAATGCTGGATTTAACTGGATTTTTTTCCCACTGTTGATGTTATTATGATCCTATCCATTACCAAAAATATTATCAGTCTTTTTCTGTTTAAAACTATTAAATTGCACACTATATAATTTGGAAGGCGAATAAACATAAAAGACAAATGTGATGTTTCTCAGTTTGTCGGATCTGCATAAATTGACAAGCGGTGGCAATATTTTCTGTTTTATGCATGTTCGTTTAAAGCTGCCACGATGAATCAGTTGGGGCGTCCATTCGCAGTTCGCTTGGCACCACTAATTATTGGATCGAAGATAGAGCGCCTTTCAGCTACGTTTTCAAAGCTATTGCAGCTCACAGAAAAAAAGAAAGAAAGTGCGAAACAGTCCAATTTGTGTTCGGGAGCCACAGGGTAGAGAACTGATCAACTGTAAAACCTTTGTCTTGTAGGTTTTTGGGTAGGACCAGATTTGTCACATCTGCGCAGCTTTCATAGCAAAAAGAAGCAGAATTACAGGATGTGGGGTGACTTAATAAGACCAGGAGAAAATAGATATTTCCCCTTGCTTACTACTGTCCTTGATGCTGAAATTCCGCATAGACTTTCACCTGAGACGATTCTCTTCTTTGTTTAGAGAACTAACTTCTTTCAGGCCAGTTGCTAGCTTAATCGCTAGAAAATTAAAAAGCACAGCGCAAGCCAAATATGCTGGCATGAGCTTCGTTCATTCACAGGGTTGGCTAGAAGAGGAAGCCCTGTAACGTTAGCACACAATCACACGATGCAAACAACAGCTTTCGCAATACAACAGTGAATGGTTGATTGGTGAACTCAAAGTGGGCCTTTAGGATTAGTCTCATGTTTTTCTGATTGCTAAGATAGGGAGTTTACCACATCATGACTCAATCAGACCAGAGGTATGGAAGAGGCTCTTACCATTGTTCAGATGTACGCCGTTTTCATTCTCTGGCCTGTACCTGCAGGAAATCGTAGCTTTTAATTACCAGGATGTGCCTCCAAATAACACCTAAGTCCATATCTGGTCTTAGTTGTCAATGTAGGGCCAACAAACAGAGTTTGCTGGCCTAGTTAAAACATTAACATTGTTCATTAAAGGAACAGTTTGTCCAATAATGAACACTCTGTCATCATTTACTCATTTTCATGTCGTTTCCAATATTTAGGATTTTCTTTTTTTTTCACTGAACAGAAAGGGAGAAATTCTGAATAATGTGCTGAACGAATCATACAGGTTGATTCTTGGGAATTGGATTAAACGATTGAAAAGTTTCGCTCACAAATTAGTCATATGGACACTTTAAGGAGAGTTTTGTCATTTAGTAGCTTGACAGTCCTAGTAGGCTACTCTTTCTTCAAAAATTCACCTTTCATGTTCCTTAAAAGAAAAGAAAAAGTCATATCCATTTGAAAAAACATGAGCTAGTGTAAATGAAGCCAGGATTTCCATTTTTGTGTGAACTATTCCTTTAACTTGTCCATCATACACAGCTCTATAATTAAATTGCCTAGACTTAGCACCAAATATACACTGAATTGTTAAATGTACAAGCACACATCACTAATGCATTTATAAAAGGGCAAATAGAAAAGTTAGCTGCACTGACGGAAGCATGTGGACTTTAAAACAGACTAATCCTAAAGACTTGATTGTGAGGAGAAGATGGAAAGATGGAGTGGTGGGTGTACTGTTCATAATGTTGCAAAATTTACAGATTAAAGAAACATACAGAACAGTAAAACCGCAGACTTGTGGATTTTCAGGCAACCAACAAAGATTTCAATTCATAAATGTTCATGTTGACTATAAAAACATCCTTTTATGATTGAAACTGACTGTGTGAAAGCGTATTGAGAATGCGGTATCCCAACATTAACCACTTTACCACCATATTCACAAACTAGTGTGTACGAATCATACAGGTTGATTCTTGGGAATTGGATTAAACGATTGAAAAGTTTCGCTCACAAATTAGTCATATGGACACTTTAAGGAGAGTTTTGTCATTTAGTAGCTTGACAGTCCTAGTAGGCTACTCTTTCTTCAAAAATTCACCTTTCATGTTCCTTAAAAGAAAAGAAAAAGTCATATCCATTTGAAAAAACATGAGCTAGTGTAAATGAAGCCAGGATTTCCATTTTTGTGTGAACTATTCCTTTAACTTGTCCATCATACACAGCTCTATAATTAAATTGCCTAGACTTAGCACCAAATATACACTGAATTGTTAAATGTACAAGCACACATCACTAATGCATTTATAAAAGGGCAAATAGAAAAGTTAGCTGCACTGACGGAAGCATGTGGACTTTAAAACAGACTAATCCTAAAGACTTGATTGTGAGGAGAAGATGGAAAGATGGAGTGGTGGGTGTACTGTTCATAATGTTGCAAAATTTACAGATTAAAGAAACATACAGAACAGTAAAACTTAGACTTGTGGATTTTCAGGCAACCAACAAAGATTTCAATTCATAAATGTTCATGTTGACTATAAAAACATCCTTTTATGATTGAAACTGACTGTGTGAAAGCGTATTGAGAATGCGGTATCCCAACATTAACCACTTTACCACCATATTCACAAACTAGTGTGTACATTAATGAAACAGGACAAATTACAGCAGGGATTGGAGGTTTAGGAGTCTTACCTGAAGCAGGTTCCTGGATCTTTTCCCTCTTCCGCTTCTTTTTTTTCCCCTATAAAATAGCCAGAGGAATATGAAGCGGCATTATAAAACCATGACATTTCTGCTATTTATGAAGTGATATAAAAAAAAATAATAAAAAAATTAATCCAATACGCCTTCCTACTTCTTCTGGACTGCATGATAACTCAACTCAACTCAACTCAAATCAAATCAAATAAAAAAAAAATAAATAAATAAATAAAATTAAATAAAATTAAATTAAATAAAAAATTTTTTAAATAAAATAACAAAAAATTAAATAAAATAAAAAATAATATTTTCTTAAAAAAAAAAAAAGTAAATATTTATAAAATATTTTTTAAAAATAAAATAAAATAATAAAATAAAATAGTAAAATGAAGATAAAGTAAAATCAAATCAAATCTAAAACTCCTTCCTAATTCTTCTGGATTGCATGGCCTAATCACCAATCGGAAAGTTAAACAAGAATAAAACATCTGCCCCTGCTCCAATTGACACGACAAACACTCCTCTAGAGTGAGAAGTCTGGACTGCTTTAGGATTTGTAGCTTACCCAAAATCCCCTGGCAGGATGACTATAGGTATAGATAGCGCCGCACTGTCATTTTGCGGTCCAATATGAGCCACGCTTTGGTTGCCTGCTGTAAAGTCTGATAATCCACTTATTCAGTCACTAATCTGTGTATTCTAGCCCTGGCTGACAGAACCAAGAAGCCCAGAGCAGTAGAAACGTCTATGACAGGATACACTCAGAATCCTTAGCACTATTAAATACAAGTGTGCTCCCACCACTAATATATAAGCGGAGATGAAAGTTCATCTGTCTTTGAAGTGTTTCTTTTTAGCCCTGTTGCCTTTCCATTTGGTGATTAGTGTGAAAGCCAGGTTTTAGTTTTAGCAGCACATCCTGGCACTTCATATTGAGTGAGATTTATGCTGGTTAAAACTTAGGCATCCAAAGTTGTCATCACAACATACATTTTGGATGTGAATTCTACAAGCTAACTGCCTTGATATCGGACATATTTGTATAAACTAAAGGAATAATTGTAATAATATTGAGTAAATGGTTAGCAATATGTCTCTTCTGGAAAACTTTTAGTATGTGACAGCTGTAAGAGCTTGGGAGCGACACTCTGAATGCAATTACTCATGAAAATAGTAGAAGCTTTTAATGAGCATTCACATCATATCCATAATAAAATGCTTATAATAAGATGTAATTGGCATTCATGTACCATAAGCAGAACAGAAATGAGTCATTTAAAAAAAGATTACATTTAACAATTTACGTAAAATTATTTTTTACAATTTCTTGTTATACAAAAATGTATGTTCATGTTTCTGAGCTTCATTTATGAAAGAAGCAGAACAAATTGTGTAAGTCGTTCATAAAATCATTCTTATGAAACTGTCAAATTCAATGCAATTTACAAAGGAGCATTTGTTCAAACAATTTACACAAATTTGTTCCACTTTTGTTTCATGAATCAGTCATAAAACTATTTTTGCGTAAATTGGTACAATGCAACAATTTGTGCAAGAATGTTTTTATGAACAGTTTACACAACTTCAATCTGCTCTGGTTTCTCGCGCACATTTATGAAACTTGATCAGAACAAATTCATGTAAATCAGTCATAAAACCTCTTTCAATGCAACAATTTACACAAGAAGGTTTTTAGAAACCATTTACAGAAATTGAGTCTGTTTGTATTAGGGTTGGGCGATAATTCGGTAACGATAATTATCACGATATAATTTTCCTCGATAAAACGATATGAAGTGTTCGATATAATGTTTATGCGCCAAAAGCTGAACGAAACAGCGCGACTCATTCGAATCGCGCTACACGGACCGTTTATCCGTTCGGAACACAGTTCAACCTGCCGCGCCGCGCGAGCTCACTAGAGCAGATGTTTACTCGGTCACTCAAGCACTAAACAGCGCTGTGAGATCCAGTGTGAAGCGCGAATAGAGCGATGAACACAAATGACTCTGTGATTTAAACTAGTTTAAAGCCAAACAGGAGAAACGCTGTGTGCAACGAGACAGTCAGAAGGCTTTTCAATCTACACATTGCCATCATTTACCATGGATTTACTGTAGTAGGCCTAACACTCACTGCACCATGGTATTGTGGCACAAATGTGGGATATTCACATTGAATTTTATTACAGGAGTAATGGTATATAATTATAGTATGTATTTGTGATTAAGCTATAGCGTGTGTGCATTTATACCATAGACTGTATAAAAACCTGGATGTAGTGTCCGTGATGTCACCCGTAAGTTTCTGAAGAGCGTTTTTGAAGCTCAAAGTGGGCGGAGCCAGCCGTCGCCATCTTGGCAGCATGTCACCGCGCGTCACTCCCGGATAATCGAAAATGGGTAAAGAGGCGGGAGCTGGTTGCTGAAGCCACACCCACCTAGCTCGACGGTGGTGACAGCAGCGGCAATCCACCTGTCACTCAAGTGGCCACGCCCTTAATTATGCAGAACTTTAAGGCTT